GGACCCCAAGAGTCAAGGGAGCGAGGTCGAGTCCTGCACCCACTCGAGTTCAGAACCCGCGCTGAATTGCAGTGGGTCTTGAATCTTGAAGTCAATCTCCTTCATGCTGCGCTGCTGCACGGGCGCGGCGGCGAGGTTTGCCGCAGGCAGCTGGATTAGGACTACTACGAGGCCTACCACTGGTCTTCAACCAGGTTTCCTACTAAGCTGGTTATGATCGGATCCATTCGGTCCGCGCTTGGTCCCGTCCGGTTGTAATCAGCATGTTGCTCCGCCGTCCCTCCCTCCCGCCTTCTAGCCCTCACCTCCTCCCGTGATCAACGCTTCCTCCTCACCGCCTTTCCTGGGGCGAGGGGGGAAAATGGAGAAGGGCAGCCCAGAGAGTCCAAATTCGCCAACAAAAAAAGTCCGCCTGCGGAAAGGAGGACATGAACCTCCTCTGACATCCCTTAAGCTATGGATGATCCCCCCTCCAGTTGTGGAAACCTCCAGCTTGCAGGTTGTGGACCCTCTGGGAAGAGCAGGCGTGGAGCATTTCGATTCGGGGACGTCCCCGCCCTGCCTCGAGTTCTGCACGCACGCCGCCAGAAAACTCTGCCGCGCCTCCGCGATGCCCCCGCGCCACTCCTCTGGAGGGAAGGCTGACAAGGCAGAAGTCTAGCAATACAAGCGATCACGAGGGGGACAAGGGCGGAGACTGGGCGTAGGGGACCAAGTGAGTTATGGGAGCCTCCTGGGAGAGGAACAAAATGAGGACCAGGACGAGGAGACCGAGGGAGGACGAGAAAATATTCAAAAGGCCCTATGCGCATGGTTCCCGAAGTAAGCAGAGGAGGAGGAGGAGGAGGAGGAGGAGGAGAAGCAGAAGAAAAGAGTAAGTTGGAAGGGAAGGGGGAGGGGGAAGCGGAGGAGGATCCTCAACACTTACGTAATCGAACCATTCGACGGCGCACATGAGAGGAACGAGGAAGAGGAGAACCGAGAACCAAGACCCCCGACGTCATCGCGTTTTCATGAAAGTCGACATCTAGAGGTCTCGACCCACTCCCTAGGACCGGTGTTTCATCCAAAGTCGCTGCTTGACGGCCCCGCGGCCCAGCAGGGGCCCCCGGAGGCCGGAAAAAGTGTGAAAAAATGCCGTCGTGATGTTTTCGTGACTCGAGGCGGTCTGGGAACAGTGGAAGGAGGAAGGCGGGGCATGGGCCCGATCATTGCTCCATATATCGGAGGGCATCTACAACACGATATGAGTTGGAAAGCTCGCTTTCTGTAGATGTCCCTGTTGGATCCTCAGGCGGGCCACCGAACGTGCCCACGTCGGGAACGGTGAACGGCCGTCCACCCCACACCTTCCGGCTGCAAAGAGGCCACGGCGGCGGCGAGAAACTTGCTGTCGCTTGGGGCGAAGCGGGGGTGGGAGGGAGAAGAAGAGAGAGAAGAGATCCTGCGAGGAGGAAGAAAAGGAAGAGACTGGGGATGACACGCACAACTCGAGTAGTGTATACAATTTCCTCCTCCTCCTCCTCCTCCTCCTCCTCCTCCTCCACCTCCTCCTCCTCCTCCTCCACCTCTCCCGCCTCTTCCTCCCTGCCTCTTCCTCCCTGTTCTCCTCCTCCTCCTCCTCCTCCACCTCCTCCTCCTCCTCCTCCTCCCGTTGCTCCTCCTCCCTATCCTCCTCCCTTTCTTCCTCCTCCTCCTCTCCTCCTCCTCCTCCTCCCTCCTGCTCCTCCTCCTCCTCCTCATCCTCCTCCTCCTCCTCCTCCTCCTCCTCCTCTTCCTCCTCCTCCGCTTGAGGACTGGGAGAAAAAGAAAGAGAAGAGTTCCTGCGAGAAGAGACCCTGCGAGACCGCAGATCCCGCCTCGGGCGGGGCTGCAGCGGCAGCTGCGGCACCCAATGCGCACTCTGGGGAGGAGGGGGTAGGACTGGCAGGAGGAGGAGGAGGAGGGGGAGGAAAAGGAGGAGGAGGAGGAGGAGGAGGAAGAGGAGTAGGATGGGGAGGTGATAAAGGATAGACGAGGAGACGTGGGCCAAAGCGTGGACGTTGCACGTCAACACCAGCGGAGGAGGGGAAGGGGGGAGGAGGGAGGAGGGAGAGGGGAGAAGGGGGAGGAGCGGGGCCGTGTGAGGAGGGATGTGGAGGAGGGGGAGGAGGAGGAGGAGGAGGAGGAGGAGGAGGAGGAGGAGAGGAGGAGGAGGAGGAGGAGGAGGAGAGGGAGGAGGAGGAGGAGGAGGAGAAGGAAGGAGAGGGGGGGGGGGGGGAGGAGGAGGAGCGGATTAAAGGAGAAAGGAAGGAGGGGGAGAAGGCGGATCAGGTGGAGGGGAGAGGAGAGGAGATGGGGACAAGCTAGGCGCGCTCACGCCACATCTGACCCCCTACTCCTCCCAGCGGTCTTTCCATGTTTGTTGACGCCATTTCTCTCTGGCAACTGAGGTGTCCTCGACCCCATCAATGGCAGCTGTAGAATAGTACCCGTCGTTTGATACACGATAGGGAAGGGGGAGGAGGAGGAGAAGGCGAATGAGCAGGAGGAGGAGGAGGAAGAGGAGGAGGAAGGCAGGAGGAGAAGGAGGAGGAGGAGGAGGAGGAGGAGATGGAGGAGGAGGAGGGGGAGGAGGAGGAGGAGGAGCAGAAGGATGAGGAAGGAGGAGGAGGAGGAGGAGGAGTACTGGAGGAGCAGCAGCAGCAGCAGGAGGACAAGCAGGAGCAGGAGCAGGAGGATCAGGGGAAGGAAGGTGGAGGAGGGGACAGGAGGGGGCCGGCGACGACCAGGAAGAAATCGAGTCCAGAAATGCGGCCCGTGCCGCGGCGAGAGCAGGGCACCGACCCTGAAATACGGCCAAAGCTACTGCGGGAGCGCTACTTTTGAAGCACCGATCACGTTCCGGCGATGTGCTTATGTTCAGTCCCGGAAGTGACGTCTCGGCTGTTGGAGTCCAGCGTGTATGGAAAATAGCACGCGGGAGGGGCTGAATGCCCACTGACTATTGTCGGGGGGGCGAGGACAGTAGGTGTCAGCTTCTCCCTCGCCCCTCCCGCTCCCTCGCTCCTCCTCGATCCTCCACCTCAGGGATCCCCCCTCCCCTCCGAGAAAGTACAGCTCAGAGGCGATGGTTGTGTCGTCCGCGGACTGCCTGGCCGTTTCGCTGGGGACACCATCAGAGTTCCAACTCAAACCAAAACGAGAAGCACCCTCCGCACAGATCGCGACGCCAGGATCCAAAAACACATTGGATTTCCACTGTGTGAAAGAAAAAGTTCTGAAACACACGGGGGTTCAATGACGTCGCACATGCATGACATCTATATATATACACATATACGACCACCCTTCGGGTGATAAGGAGGTTCGGGGGGGAACCAACGTCTCACTCAATCGGTCTCAATATCGGTCTCACTATCGATCTCACTATCGATCTCACTATCGGTCTCGCTCGATCGATTTCACTCGATCGATTTCACAATCGATCTCACTCGATCTATACCATTCGCTCGATCTCACAAGGGACCTGACTATCGATATCACAATCGTCATCACAATCGATCTCGCATTCGGTCTCACGATCGATCTCACTATCGATATCACAATCGATCTCACAATCAACGTCATCATCGTCATCGACAACAACATCACCATCATCATCATCATCATCAACATCATCATCGGGACACAATCAGTTTCATTTCATCATCAGCATCATCATCGTTAACATCATCATCATCATCATCATCATCATCATCATCATCATCATCATCATCATCATCATCATCATCATCCATCGGGGCACCATCATCATCATCATCATCATCATCATCATCATCATCATCATCAACAGCAACATCATCATCGAGCATATCATCATCATCATCATCATTATCACCATCGGGGGGCCATCATCGTCATCACCAGCATCATCACCATCAGAATCATCATCATCACCAGGACAGCATAATCAGCATCATCACCATCATTATCAACATCATCGTCGGAGCACAATCATCATCAATCATCATCATCATCATCATCATCATCATCATCATCATCATCATCATCATCATCTGCATCGTCATCTCATCATCATCATCATCAACAACATCGTCATCACCATAAGCATCATCATCATCGGGACACCAGCATCGTCAACATCATCATCAACATACTCATCATGATCACCATCATCATCGGGACACCGTCATCATCATCGATATCAGCAACATCATCATCATCGGGACATCATCACCATCATCATCATCATCATCATCATCATCACCGGGACACCATGATTATCACCATCATCATCAGCAACATCACCATTATCAGCATCCTTCCCATCAACATCATCGGGACACCATGATCATCACCATCACCATCATCACCATCATCACTGTCATCATCATCATCATCATCATCATCATCATCATCATCATCATCATCATCATCATCATCATCATCATCATCAACGTTATCATCATCGGGACACCAGCGGGACACCGGCGGGACACCGCACCGCGGGGCCCCGGCCGCCCGGAAGGGAGACATTTGGTCCGGCCGCGCCTCAGCCACAGGGGACACCAGCGGGACACCGGCGGGACACCGCGGGGCCCCGGCCGCCCGGAAGGGAGACATTTGGTCCGGCCGCGCCTCAGCCACAGGAGACTTTCCTCTCGCCCGCCCACGCAGCTTCGCCTCGCCCGCACGCACGGCACGCACGAACACGAAACCGAAATCGATTTCCCGGTAGGGGGGCTCTCCGTTCCACTTCGATCTCACCCCCTCACCTCCGATATATACATATATATATATATTGTGTGTTCAACAGTTGCATGTGAAGTGCTTCAGCATGCCATCAGGTAACCTTCAGCACACTATTGAGTCCAGCGGTTTGCGCACAACTGCTAGAAAACATTGTTGCTGTCATATACGTCCCAGTGTAGGTATCTAACCTCGCTCTACTATGTGTCGTTTCATGCCCGCAGGCGTGCTTCTCAACATTTGTCGACTGTGAACTGTGGCAGCCCCCATCGGTTACCCCCCATTGCTTTTGTATGCACTCGGGCGCACACGTGGATAGATTGCATATACGTGCGGAGGGAGTGAGGAAGAGCAGCAGGCGGATGGGGAGGATCTGGGAGATCAGGACAAACCCGAGGTTCACGAAATGTCAGATCAGAGGAGATCAGATCAGATCACGAAAGATCAGGATCACAGGAAATAGCAGATCGAGGAGATCTGATCAGATCACGAAAGATGTCGCACTCCACCATTCCGTCCAGGTCCCCTCTGCAGAGATCCACACGGGCGTGCCGCCCTGCTACGGGAAAGCGTCCCCTTGCAAGACGAGCTCTGCATCGGCCTGCCATTCAGGGGCAGAGCCCAGTTCAGGGAAACGAACTCTATACACCGACGCTTCTCCCGACCCTGCGCTGAAATTCGCACAGGAACGCGGATTCTGGTGTATGCGGGATCCTGGTGTATACATGTTTCGTTGTTTCCCTTGGGAAACTGGGGAGCAGTATACACCACAACACCCCGACGTGGTCCCTGACCCTCAAAAAAGTCGTGGGATTGAAAAGCACCCTGCCACTGGTAATGTACATGTTCCAGTTTCCGACAGTTGGACAACGAGCTGCACTGCATCCTTCCAGCTGGCATAGGGAATGCGACGGGTGGGATCGCCAAGATCGAGGAAATGTGCAAAAAGGGAGCCCCGACTTGAAAAGGGAGCACCCTCCCGCCGTGCAGGTGCTGCAAAAGCTTATCAGTTGGTCACCCGCTTGAAATGAGATCAAACGTGAGACCCATGTTACAAAGGAATCACCATCTATCCGTGTAAACCCACGTTTCAAGACAGAGAAGAAGTGTCAATCGAGAGAGAGCCAGACTTCGAACAGGAGACGCCCAGCATCCTCGTAGCGATTGGCAAACTCGCGAGACGGATGCGCTAGACGGAAAGGCGAGAGCCGCATGCCGAAAAGAAACCGCCCTTCATCCTGGCAGCCGTTGGACATGTTGAGAAGAATATGCGCGGCGATAGAGCTATAGCCACATGCTGAAAGCCACTAGCCAAACGTCTCGGCAATTTCTGGCAGCTGTTAAGACGACATGCGCAGCGCCAAATATTATATAAAGATATGTTGAAAACTGGCATGCCTTCCACCTGTGCAGCTGTCGCAGTTCCAAGCATCTGGCTCATCCACGGTGAGAAGGCCTCAGGCTAAACGCCCCGCCCGCCGTACCGACACGTCTGACGATGCGACCAGACGGAGTTGTGTTTTAAAGAAAGCTGGATGGAGCTGGAGGAGGGGGAGCAACAGGAGAGGAAGCGGGATGAAAAGGGAGAGAACGAGGAGGAGGAGGAGGAGGAGATGGAAAAAAGAAGGACGATGGGGAAGGGGGGGGGGGAGGAGGGCGGGGGGGGGCAGGGGGAGGAAGAGGGGAAGAAGAAGTGAGGCAGATGGAGGAGGGCAAGCAGAAGGGTAGATAGAAACCCACCTATCGCTGTGGTTTGGGTCACCCAGAGCACCGGCGACAGGGTCGGCACGAAGGGCACGTCCAGGCGCTCCCGGCAGCGGCTGTTGAGCAGCGCGTAGTCGACGATGGCCGTCTTGGCGGCTTTGATATACCCCTTGAGGATGTCTTGCCGGACGGCCTCGATCACCTCATCCCTCTTCCTGAGCTCCATGTCGGACCACCTGGCAGGCTGCGGACAACAGGGGAGTTGTCGACCCCTATCCCAGGCCTCGTGGGGTTTGTGCGAATGGGCCACCAATTCGGGGCCCACCTCCGAGATATACGACGGGGGGGGGGCATCCATCCTCGATCGGGGTGCGTCCGATGAGCCCCCTTCTGGGATGCATTGGCGGCGCGCACAAGGGGGTAGGGGGAGGGGGGAAAGCTTCTCTGAAGGAGGCCGCTTCTTAGAAGGCGCCTGCCTCATGCTTACAGACAAGGCCCGCGCCTGCTCTGAGAAGCCGGCGTGCTTCTAAGAAGCCTTCCCCCCTCCTCCTACCCGTCCCTGCGCGTGGCCGAATGTATCCCCGAGGACGAGGAGGAGGAGGAGGAGGAGGAGGAGGAGGAGGAGGAGGAGGGGGAGGGGGAGGAGGAGGAGGTGGAGGAGGAGGAGGAGGGCGAGGAGGAGGAGGAGGAGGAGGAGGAGGAGGAGGACGACGACGACGAGAAGGAGGAGGAAGAGAAGGAGGGCGGGGAGGAGGAGGAGGAAAGGAGAAGGAGGGAAGGAGGAGGAGGAGGAAGAAGAGTTCCCCGCCTCTTCTGAGCGGAATCGTCGGGGGTCGGGGGCGCGGAACCGTCGGGGGTCCGGGGCGCGCAGGTCGCCTGCGCGCCGAGGCCGTGGCGCCACCAGCGCCGACTCTTTTTGCTCGGGAGGGTCTGCGACCTGCCTTTGCTGCAACGCGCCCGCGCCAGCCTCCCGCCGGCACCGTCTCGGGCCGCCCCATGGAGGAGGAGGAGGAGGAGGAGGAGGAGGAGGAGGAGGAGGAGGAG